AAATAACCCGGAATAATCATATAAAGACACATTCAACCGAGCTTATTTGTGCATGTTGACCAGAATATACCAAATTCAATTTTAGCTCATTTCACAAACTCAAAAATTAAGCTCAAACTCAATTTGCCCCTTAATGACCAATAACATTATTTACATGAAAGAAAAATGAAAAACATAATTGTAAGAAATAAATTCATAGATAACTTACATAAACCAAAATGCTAACATTTTCATAGTACTAGAAAAATAGACCAAAAAATGAGACATATTCTACCAATTCGGACCAAAATTGTGAAGAATAAAAAAATAAATACACCTAAATTTGAAAAATTAGAAGAAAAGAGAGCAACGAATGCAAAAAGAAAGAAAAATGAAACCTCAAGAGATTAATGGTGATTTTTGTCGACGATGGACTGATTAACGGTCATTTGGCTTCAAGCCTGGACAAAAATGGAGGACTTTAGTGTCGCCAGTGACCTTGAGCAAGAGGAAATTGAGCCGTTTAAATTTAGGGAATGAGAGAGAGAATGATAGGATTTTTACCTTTTAGGGAATGAGAGAGAATGAGAAGATATATGCCCTTGTTTGAGCCCTATTTTTGGGGAGAAAATGAATTTTTAAATAGTGTATTAATGAAAAATGTATTGTTAAAAAATAAGGAAAAATTTTCAATTTACGTGTAATGTTATTTTATTGAAGAATGTGTGGTTGAAATGATGTCGAAACACTGTTTAAGAATATATTTTTTTTGGAAAGAATGGAGCTCAAACAAGGGCTATATATATTAAATAGTGAAGTAAGAGCATTTGATGCGTGTGTTAAAGTTTTTTGTACTATTTTTCCATCTAGTAAAATCAATTTTTAATGAAAGACATGTAGGGTATTTGAATTGTCTAAATGGACAAAAATGTCCAAATTTTTCCAAAATTAACAATCTTGCAAAAACTTAAAAAATGTGATATTTTTGTAAATACAAAGCCAAAAATTGACTATTTTGGTAATTTCCACAATTTTTATTAATGTCAAACTAGCTAGTAAAATATAGTAGTTGGATGGGATAAGTTAGTAATATAATAAAATTAACAGTTTTATTTTATTGAATTATGAATTATTATTGGGAAGTAACAATTCCTAGTTGAAATCAACCACACGTCTTATGCAATTTTAGGCAAAATCAATTCTAGAAATTTTAATTTTATTTTGTTCTAAGCAAAATTTGAGAGTTTTGGAAATTGCTTATGATTGTTGTAGTGATTCAATCATTGTATCCTAGAAGTAATTCTTCAAAGAGATCACAACTGTTACCGATGAACAACTTTACTTTAAGACATCGTACTGTCACAAATTTTCTACATTTAATTGTTTGAAAATCCCTCTTTCCACCCTTTAAAGCCTTTGCAACACGATGGCAAACTGGTACATAAAAATTAAATATTCATGTGATAGCCAAAAAGCTAAGGTGCCATCTAAGCTCCATCCCGCGATGTCATATGTAAACTTTTTAGCAATATTAGCATCCGGAAATTAACTATAGAATTATTGTAGCGTTAAAGGTAACATCAGTTAAATATAATACTAACGACATAATGACTGACCTTATAAAATAAAAAAACAATTTAACCCAAAGCTTCAATGAGCAATTCTATGTTCAAATGTTGGATTCTAAGACAAGTGGGCACGTCCTACTTTGCATAAATATGAAAATAATAATCAACGTGTGATGATGTAAACTACTCCCTCTTAACATTGGTATTTTAAGATAGAATTCAAGATTCGACATATAGACTTCAAAGAAAAACGTGTGTACGTGGGAGTGGGCAAGAAGCAGGCGACGAATGGTCATTATTCATCATAACAGTGCCATTTTTCTTTCTTTCGGTGTTCATACGGTTACAGACATTTCACACAAAATATAGACTAATTTTTATAGATCCTAGAGTGTTACTAAAAAATTGATTTTCTTCACGTAAATGAGGAAACATACAAATAAAAAAATTCCTTCATTTCAATGATAAATAATAGCTATATGCTGACCAAAACATTAAATTTATATCTTTTCGAAATGACTTTTGATCGAATGGAATTAACTATAAATAATAAACTAAATAATGGAAAATTTAACGAGTCTATTGTCTTCAAATCATGTTGACAATCCTCATCACCATTATGTAACAAATTTTATCGACTGAACTAACTGTAAATTTTGTAAGAGTGAGTATTTAACAATACCTAGTAAAATACATACAATTTCTATAACATAATTAAATAAATCAATAAAATAGACATTGACTGGTACATATATAATAATAAAGTAAACTAAATTTAACTTTTATCCGAATCACTTAGCATATGTTTGTTTATCATTCTCCAAAAACTCTTTTTTGCTAAAATTCATTTTCAATCATACATTCATATAATAAAATATTTTGCACGTAAATCCAAAATTTTTTGCTACTTTTTTACCACACTGCTCTAAAAATCACTATTCCAAAACTCATTTTCTCCACCAAAAAAAAAAAAAAAAAACCTCTTTTTAATGGACATCGGGGCTTAATTAGTACATAAGCATATATACAAACACGTAATCATGGCCGCCTATTTCTTTTAAATTATTAATTCACTTCATTACTTTTAATTAAAGATGACTTTTTTTTACTACAATATCTTGAGTCCAACTTATTTGGATTAACTCTTCTCGAGCCATAGTGCATCATTTAATACGAGATTAACTCTTAGCCCTAAAATATTTAATTATTTGATCCAAATAAAAATATTGCATTAAGCACTTATTTTCTCTTTAGTCCATCAATGATTTAAAAAGCACCTAGGTCAAAATTCTTATCACTAGATAATATTATTCTATAAAATTTCGAGAGGATAGATTTGCTTTGTTATTCTATCTTATTATCATGCACATAGAATTTGTGAGTTACTTTCCCCACTTTCTCCTTTTGTGCTTTCACCCGGGCTTTTCAATTAATGCTAGATAAAAGGGTTTTTGGTTTGTGCAATGGCCTGGAACAAGGGGGTAATTGTGACATTCAGTTAATCGAAAGATAAAGATTTTGAGTCTTGCTCGGATCAGCACGGGCGCAGAATCAAATGCAGAGCCGAACCTGAGCATAGGCTCAACAAGCCACTACCTCAGGCCCAGCTCTTCAAGGGAGTCCAAAATTATTTTTTTCCCATGTTTTCTTCTTCTTCTTCTTTTTTTTTTGGTTGGTAAAACCCACTAATTAACGTAGAAGAATCCTCCCATAATTGAGATATTTTGTAAATATCTTTTACGTTAAGTTTTAAGTTAGCAATTGGCTGTATAGTACACCGTTGGATTTTGATTTATGTTGATTTTGGGGGCTCAATTTATGGAGTTCGCCTTGGGCCCCTACAATCACAGGACCGGCCCTGATCAAATGTGGTAATAAAATTATCTAGAGAAGTAAGTTAATCTAATTAGCATCATCATTATCACAATGAAAAGGCGTTGCACTAGTGAGATGAACTCCAAGATCAGATAGAACATGTGTCTTCTGATTATAAAGTTAATTTTTCATCTTTTGGCTAAAATGTGAGTTATACAAAATTGGGGTTTTGTTCTTTCTTTTGTGTCTAATTTATCTCCCTTAATCCTGCACATTGAACATGAATATTGCCTAAACATTTGAGTTTTCTTCCCTATTTTTTTGTGTGGAAATTTGTTCCCTTTTTGATAAACTTTAAGGTACCAAAATGGACATGAAAATAGTAGATGCTACAGTGCCAAATGCCAATGCTATTATCTCTCGGTTTAAGCCCTTTCGTACAGAAGGGAGGCTACAGAAGTTCACCAGATTACTCACATGGTGGGCCCCCATGTAGATGATAAAATAATGCCAAAAAATACCCACCAACCCATGTTGTCTGTTGTCTGATTAAATTCTGTGCAAAGGGCTTCTATACATGTAGCTCTGTTGTTATCTCTCTCCTCCTTCACTTCTTCAGCACATTACAGTATTTGTTTTGCATATTTTTGACTTACTATTTGCCAAGTTTGTATTAAGAAGGTGGAAATCAGTTTGTTTGAAAATGATAAAGTTAGTCTTGTTCCGATTAAATTTCAAGTAGTCTACACGATTTTATATATTTTTTATTTTTTTGTGTCTCACCATTAGGTTCAGAATTATGTGAAAAGATCCAAAATAACTAAATCCTCGTGACAACAAAATGTGATCAGAAAATCATTTCTTGATTCTTTTTGTCTATTGTTTTTGGGGAATGATTTTCTTTCTTTTCTTTTTTCCAATTCTTTCTTATCAAATTTTATAAATAACATTGATTGGTGACTTTGGAAAACAGGATAAATTCTTGAGTAATTTCATGTGTACAGAACAATAATTGCCAGATGTTTCATAAAACTCTCACGTGGAGGTGGGCTCCATGTGAATATTTTATTGTAAAAAATAAATCACCCACCCCACTGTCGTGTATTGGCCGTAGAAGTTATGTAAACAACTTTTCTGTACATCTAGACTGGTTGTAAATTCTTTCCTATTTTCAGCTTTTTTGTGTGCCCAAACCGAGTAATCTTGATTCTTGAGCCATTTCTTAGGTTTCATTATTGCGCGAGAATACTGTCTCAAGCAGCAACATCAACACAGGCATAATAAAGTTGCCATTACCACTACACCAGAAAATGAACCAACTTTATTAATTTTATCCCTTACTGTACCCTTCTTTTGTGTCTTTTGATGCTAATGCTTCTTCTAATAATCCATTTATGTGTAAGATTAGTAGAGTGCAATCATGCTTAGCATACATCATATTTTACACTATTTTTTACACTTTGTCATGATGTCATTACATCATTGGAGAATTTCAAAATAAAACAGTTTTTTCATCCAATCAATTCTTGACAACATGGTTGATGTCAACCATGTTTTCATCCTTTCATACGTATATCTTTGGGTCATTTTCATTTTCAGCTTTTCATCTACATTTGTCCTTTCAGACAGAAACACGTGTAGTGGAAATTGGAGACATTCTTTCTTCTAGTGCATGTTCGATTTACAAGGTTAAAACTATTCCTTGAAAGCTCTAACAAGCCCACATTTGATAACAAACAACATAAGAGCATTAGACACACATATGTTGTAGAGGCAAACAATTTCCAGTAATGGAAACTGCTCACTCACTACATGTCGCAGTACCAATTTTATTTCTCCATCTCAATAAGGTAATATTAGCACACAGAAATAATGTCTTCATGCAACTTTCCAAGTTGACAAAAGAGGAGTGTCAGAATGCTCCCATGTACCCAAACCAGGTCCATATCTATCGCCCTTGACCGCATCAGTTGAAGCAATAGATTCGAGTTCAGCCATGTCTTCTTTCGTCAGTTTCACAGACAACGCTTCGATGTTTTTATTGAGATTCTCGATTTTCGTGGTACCAGGTATGGGACACACATCGATTCCTTGATGACGGATCCATGCTAAAGCTAGCTGTGAAGGGGTGCACCCCTTTCTATTTGCCATATCATTGACTCTCTCGAACAAACTCTTATTATGCTCCAGATTCTGGGATTGGAATCTTGGAAAATACTCCTATAGACACAAAACACATCTTTCAACATCGAAACTACAACCACACCTAGTAAAAAAATAACATTTTGGGAGAGGGAACAAACCAACCTTTCGAGAGTCCCCTTCAGATAAAGTTTCAACTAGTTTTGGACCGGAGGACAAGAATCCCCGTCCAAGAGGACTATATGCTACTATTCCAATGCCAAGTTCTCTAAACAATTGAACTAACGATAGTGTTAGAAATTATATTGCTTACTGGCTTAAAAAATAAAAAAATTATAACAATAATCATCAAACCTGCAAGTAGGAATTATTTCTTTCTCCACATCTCTTGACCATAAAGACCACTCCAACTGCACTGCTGTTATTGGATGAACAGCATGTGCTCTTCTGATTGTTGAAGCCGAGGCCTCTGATAGGCCTATATATTTTATCTTACCTTCTTCCACTAGTTTCTTTAGTTCTCCAATCTTGCATAAAGAGATATCAAAAGGGAATAAGAAGGGACTTAAGTAAGAAACGTGTGGAATCAAGTTGAAGATTACAAATGAGATCTATAACTGTAAATACACAAGTAGAAGGTATGTTTCTGCTTCCAACTCTTGACATCAAAACGTTATGCGTTCGGTGAGAAGGTAATTCTTTAGCATGCAATTCGACATTATCAAATCCTATTTAAAAATAGGTTATTAGGTATAATACAATTTCAAATCCAATTATCAGCAAGAAACATCATACTGTAGAAGTCCTCGCATCTTGCAAACTTCTAACAAGGGTAATGTATAGATTCCTAGTTTGGTTAACATGTGGTAATCCACTAACTCCTAACTCTTATCCCAGGTCGAAACCAAAACTAGAAACTAAGAAATAAAACTGTGGTGAAAAGTTAACTAGCTAAATAAGTATTCAATTCTATATGACCTCACATGGCAGTGTCGTTGGTTAGCTCCAAGGAAGTTCGTATTCAATAAATTGATGTCATTCTAGTTGAACAGGTTAGTCAATAGAAAGGAAGACCATAAATGACACGGATTAATTGAATTACAGAAGTAATGATTATACTGGACCTTTCAGAAGATGCAATGCTCGTAAAGCCAAGTAACGAAAAATGATTTCTGCTATCGAACCTATAATAACATGGTTTAATGAGATTATAAAAGTGATGATTTTACTGAACCTTCCAGAAGATGCAATGCTTTATAAAACAAAGTGGAGAAAAATGATTTGTGTAACTGAACCAGAGTATTTTATCAGAAATAAGATTTAGCATGCTATTGCATTAGACAACAAAGTTTTATTTATTAGTTCCCAAGTGGGAGAAAATATCTGTATATTAGCAGAATGGAAGGGCATAATTTGGAGTTGGGAACCATATAGACATGACAAACAATCAAAACAAAGCAACCCACATAGAATATTTTCTGTATAATAATTGATACGATACATCAAAAAAGGTGTCTTTATATGCTTCGTAATTTAAGAAATTATTTGGTTTTTATTTCCTTGAAAAGGCGATCTGAGAGAACGAAAATTACACGACATTTATGTCAACTGGATTACTGAATTCTGTTTCAATATTCATCAATAGACTAAACAAGGTTGCTACTACTGTGTAGGTAAGGAACAAGGACGACTGTTGACCGTAGCTGATTAATGCACAGATAAGAAAATGCTAACTTTGCATCATCAAGATCAAGTGAAAATACGAAATTATAAGTCATAAAACTGTAAAATATTGTAAATGTATCTTAGGATGCCATATCAATTAACTAGGTTTGCCATGAATCCGGTCACATATCCCTCTCTAGATTAAAGGATGAAACTCGTTCTACTCTATCTTGATTCTATTGACACCGACTGCAGCTAATACTAAAATTTACAACTTGTGTAGATGATCTATTTTCAAAAGTATGAAAAAGATGAGCTCGATGCGATCTTTCGTCAAATAACCTTAACGTTTAGAATCAAATACGAGCAAGTTAACTCTTCTTTCTTTGGCCTAATTGTTGATTAGAAGACCTAACTTGTATGAATTTTCTATTGGTTCAATATCAATAATGGCAATTGTTTCATTATATTAAAGTTACACGAGATGCATAAAAACAAAGGAGAATAAGGGCTAACCGTGACTTCGATAGGTACACGGGTGTCAATGCGATGTTGGTAATAAAGATCAATGGAATCAATATCAAGCCGCTTCAAGCTGGCCTCACAAGCAGCTCGTACATAGGCAGGGTCTCCTTGTACAGAAAACTGGTTATCCTGAAATGTAATCCCAAATTTTGTAGCCAACTCCACTTTCTCCCTCATCCCATCCTTCAAAGCCTATTCAATTTGATTATTACAAACTGGCGACTAGAAGCAGTGCAGAACAATAAATAAACAAGGCATAGTAAGGTCAAGAATAGTCTCCAGGAAGTACATAAAAGACCTACCTTCACCATCAAAATGAAAATTGGTTAAAAAATAATTTATTAAATCAATGTTATATTGCTTCCATTAGACCTCCAAGCTACAGTATTATGAAGTCCTTGCTGCGGCATTTAGTCGAACATGATAAACGCGTAATGGCCCCCGGGACTATTCTTGATAAACCTAGTCTCAGCAAGACTCAGTGTAAGAGTTCAATTCCTGAAATTTTGTGGATATAGTATATTGGCAAACTCTTGTTTCCTGATCTGTTGGTCACATTTCGCGATTTACATTCCTCACCCTCACGATACTTTAGAGGCGGGGGCGGGAGCCTCAAGATTGGGATTAAACTTCTTTTTTTTTCTTTTTTTTTTCCGGTAAACGCGTAATGCTAAAAAATTGCAGTCAGGAAATAAGGGAAGAAATTGTACCTTCCCGAGGAGGATTTCATTGGTGTGCGGTCCATAGACGTCGGATGTGTCAAGGAAGGTGATGCCGGAGTTAATGGCATGGTGAATGAGCTTGATCATGTCGGGTTCCGGCTTGGGCAGGCCGTAGAATGCGGACATGCCCATGCACCCGAGTCCTTGCGCAGACACCTCCAATCCCTGTGAACCAAGCTTGATTCTTGGCACTTTTACACTGCGTTCTGCTGCCATTATATTGGAATCTGAAGGGTATTTTCAGGTAGAGGAAGAAATGAAATTCCAGGTAAAAGATAGGTATTCCTCTTGATTTATAAAGAAAACTGCAAGGGATGGCCGCTGATCCATGGCAACTGACTCTCATTTCATTTTCTTACTTTTTCTTTCTTTTAGACCATACTGTAGGAGGATTAACGTAAGTGACTACGTCAGAAACAGGGAAAAAGGACTAAAGTTGAAATCTGCGGCAGTGTCGAAAAGGGATACACATTTATGTCAGAATTCTCTCCCCTTGTCACTTCACGGAAGAAGAAAGTTCAATTAGACATATTATATGAACTTTATTCAGCCCCGTATGGCCCCCTTAACTTAAATTTCATTTTTCTCTCTTTTATTTTTAAACATACATTCTTTCATATAATAATATTATACATAAATAAATAAAAAATTCTTCTTTTTTAACCACTAATTCTTCAAAAAAATAATATTCCACCCATTTTAATTGAAAAAAAGTAAGGGTCAAACAGGGGCTCAATCACACTGCTTTTATACTTTTGTATTTATTAAAAAGGTTTGAACCTCAACTTTGAGATCTCCCACCATTTTGTCCCTAAAGCTTTGTGAGGAAGATAAATCGTGGGATGTGCTCCAACAGGTCAGGGAACAAGAGTTGTCTGTACACTGCGCCTACAAGGAGTCCAATTCCATGTCTCGAGAATCGAACTCCCACACTACGACTACCAACATACTTTTGTATTTATTGACCTTGTGTGATGTGAGTGTTAATCTAACTACTTATTTGAATAACAATTATTTAAATTAATGCTCAGACTTTTTACACATCATACTACATCAAAAACAATGTACAATTTAATTGTACAAATAGCATTTTAAGTTTATCATGAATTGCTTCCCGTTGATGTGAGCTAACAGTTTAATGTTCCATTTAGTCAACGTTTGACCCTCCTTTTTTAAATCAAACATTTCATAACTTTTATCAAATCTACTAAAAATTCGATTTTAATTTAAATTAAATGAATTTAATTTGTCGAACGACTAGATTACTTACTCCCTTTGATAACAGAGTTATTTTAGGGCGAAAACCCTTGGACGTCTTGATAACGTAGCATGTAAGAGATGAACTTGTGGTTGAGTAGATGTTCTCGTCGACATCTTGGTTTGGCAAGTCTCATCTTTGCATTTAGTGAATTGTAGATATAAAATAAAATAAAATAAAATGAATTGAATCGATTTAAATTATTAACCTAGTTAAATTGAAATCCACTAAAGTCCATAAAGCCAAGGGCCCATACCTCATTTTAAATAAATAAATCAATAAACAAATAAAACAAACAAACAAATAAATAAAATCTTAATTACTCAATTATCTCTTTTAATTAAATGTAATTGAGTAATTACCAAAATTAGCACGAATTCTCCCTTATAAATAGGACCAATTGTCCATAAGACAGGGGTACAAGGGGAAGAAGTGAAGAAGAAGCAAGAAAGAAAGCAGAGAACGCCACGAAGTGCTGAAAAAATTTCAAGGCCGAAAGAAGGGAAGAAATTCTCTAAAACCTAAGCTCGGTGAACCTAAGAAGATTAAAATCTTCTTCGAATCAAACAAGTTCACTTCAAGTCCAAGAAGATCAAAGTCTTCTTCAAATCAAATCAAAATCAAGTTCAAGTCCAAGCCTCAAAATTCAAGTTCCGAACAAATCAAGTCTCGACAAATCAAATTTTCAACAAATTCTCGAAAATCAGGATTCAAGCCACGTAGTCCCTCATCTTCAAATATTCAGATCATTAATCAAAGGATTTTTATAATTTGCAATTACAAGAAGGTCAACATCATTTGTATTTATCAAAATACAATTTATAACGATTCCTGTATTTTAATACACGAAATTTCGTTCTACAAATTTCTTGGCACGCCCAGTGGGACCTTCTTGTCCTCTCATCTTTTAATCTCAAAATCATCAAGTTTCAACTACAATATCACCAATGGCAGGCGAAAAGGCGAAACAAACTATGACTCATCTTGAAGAAACACTTGTCGAACTCTTTCGTGCAACCAGGGCCCAAACAAAAATTGGGAAAAGTCAACTGATCACGCTACTGAAGAAGTTCTCCAAGAAGCCAAACTCTCATTTGATAGAAAAAACCAAGAGTTCAGCGAAAAGTTCTCGTTCGGGCTCCATCTCCAATGGTAGATCCTTGTCTGGATCCCCTCATGCCACTTTTCAACAAAAGTGGGAAGATGATGCCTCATCTGAAGAATCACTTGAGCCAGTGATGATCACAGAAACGACATCGGGCTCAGATGATTGAATTCAACAAGGGACTTTAGCCATTGAAAAATTAACAAAGTCATTGTAAGACAAAGATGCACACAGATTGCTGCACTCATACACAAGCCAGAGTCCTAAAATCCACCGACTAAAGAAGATCAAGAAAATTCAGGATCTTCCAAGGTCAAAGAGCTAGAAGTTCAAGAGCGCCAACAAAAGCAAGATATGCTCGATCGAACAGTTGTTCAAAACGTGTTGCGTGACACCAATCAATTCTTCGTTGGCTCTCTGTCCGTCCAACAACTTCAACATATGATTGCAGACACCATTCATGCCCAGTATGTTGGTTCATTACAATCTTCATTGGTTTATGCCAAGCCCTATAGTCGTCAAATTGACGCAATAAAGATGTCACTCGATTATCAACCTCCAAAATTTCAGTTTTTTGATGGAAAGGGCAATCCAAATCAACATGTTGCCAAGTTTATTGAGACTTGTAATAATGCAGGTACTTACAATGACACTATGGTGAAGCAGTTCGTACGCTCCCTCAAAGGTTTTGCATTTGAATAGTACACGGACTTACCGACAGGATCAATTGATAGTTGGGATCAGCTCGAAAGAGAGTTCCTAACACGCTTCTACAACACTCGACAAACTATCAGCCTTCCAGAACTTGCTCGAATAAAGCAGAGCAAGGAAGAGCCTGTTGTGGAGTACATTAAACTCTGGAGGAACCTTGTTCTTAATTGCAAAGAACAGATAAGCGAAGCATCTTCTATCGACATGTGTGTACAAGGCATGCATTGGGGATTACTCTATAATCTCCAAGCAAATATGCTCACTCATTTGAAGAATTGGCAACACCTGCTTATGACCTAGAGCTCCAAATTGCGAAGCATAGGAGTTACTTACCAAGTGATCCACGTGACAAAAGGGATCCTAAGAAGGAGATAAACAAGGACGCCAAGGCAAGTAAGTCCAAAGAAGCTATGGCAGTTTCTATTGCTCCTGCAAAGATAGCTTTCCAGGGGTTGAGCTCGAATCCAAAATCAAAGCTAGAGTTCAGACCTAACAAAGGACAAGTCCAAAGTAGAGGTCATGTGAGTCTGAAAGAACTTGAAGGAATGGAGTACCCATTCTCAAATTTTGAAGTTTCTAAAATTCTAGATCAGCTCCTTGAACAGAAAATAATCGAACTTCCAATACCAAAAAGACCTGAGGAAGCTGGCAAGATCGATCATCCTAAATACTGTAAATTTCACAGGATCATTAGCCATCCAGTGGAAAAATGCTTTGTTTTAAAAGACTTATTGTTCGTTTGGACAAAGAAAATAAGATCAAACTTGAAACCGGAGAAAATCCAACAGCCGCCTGCTCGATGGTTTCATTTGGATAATTTGATCCAATTCCCATTCTAGGAAAGAAACAAACATTCTCTGATGTACACGATGCCTGTAAATCCTCAGTTAAGGAGTTTGGGCCTCAACTTCCAGAAAGAGCCATCCCAGTGGAGTTTGAGGTAGATGGAGAAGTTACTATCAGTTATGTCTATCCAGGGATGGATGGATCAAGCGCACCCTATCGTCTAATCTTTTATGAAATTATGACAGGTGACTTGGATGTTTGGGATTCTGACCCATAATCTGAAGACGAGATCGATGACCACTAGTCCACCTTCATAAACAAGAAGGAGAAATATCGAATGTCAAACAAAACAGGTAAAATATTACCTTCTATGCCTTTTGCAGGAACAGAGCTGGAGGGATTGGGTACAAAAATTCAACCCAATAAAGAGAAAACATTAGAAGAAAATCAGGGGGCATGGACCCTTGTGAAAAGACATCGTCAAAAGGCTCCACAACTCCCAAATTCTAATGCTTGTGACAAAAAATCAGGACCAAGGAACGACCGAAGAAGGTCTAAAGCCAAATGAAGAAGATTCACTAAATCGATGGGGGTTGAAGCTGCTTCACGCATTCTTCCCAGATTGCCAACTTTGGGTGATTATTTCCCCAAGGGTTTCTTTGATAAAGAATGTTTTACATCCAATGTTATCAATGTAGAGATGAAAAATGCATCCGGAGAGACTTTAAAACAGAAGAAAACCATCTCACGGCTCAATAATATTCCTACCAATACGAGCCTAGCAAAGTCTCTTAGTCTTCCTCTCGATGATTGAATGGCTTTGGTCGCAGCTTTTATCGATCCGAAAGAATACAAAGGCAAAGTTCTAGAACATATTGGATCCACAACTCCTCAAGACTGTATGGCCGCCATAACATTCGACGATGAAGATTTACAACTGGGTTCTCGTCCACATAATAGACCACTGTATGTCAGTGGTTATATTCGAGAATGAAAGATAAATCGCATAACGATCGATTATGGATCTGCTGTGAATATTATGTCGATCAAAACAATGAAGAAAATTGAAATTAATATTGGTGATCGTCCAGAAGCAAAATCATGATTCAAGGATTCAATCAGAAAGGTCAACAAGCCATTGGCATGATTCGCTTGAAGTTGCAAATAGTAGAATTAATCTCCTCAGCTCTCTTCCATGTCATTGATGCCAAAAACAGCATACGAGTTACTTCTTGGACGTGTTTGGCTACATGAAACTGGAGTGGTACCTTCCACTTGGCATCAATGCTTCAAATATAGCCGAGATGGAGAAGTTAGATGTGTGGTAGCTGAGTCTAAACCATTCCTTGAAGAAAAATCTAATTTTGCTGATGGCAAATTTTACATGAAAAATGAAGAGTGCAATTCTGCAGGGTTAACCATGTCTGGATTCAAAATCAAAGAAGGTGCAAATGATCACGATACGTCTAGCGTTACTCAATCTCATCAACTTATCAAAGGCAAGCCAAAATTTACATCCGGAGGATTCTCTAAAGGCAAAAAATCTCAAATAGAAGCAACCGA